TTGCTTGCAACTAAAAGCCGTGCAACAAAAGGGCAAGTTTCAGGCAAGATTGAAAGTGATCCTGTGGTTTGGGCCAAACCCTTGTTTAAGCATGCTCAAACACTCTCATGTTGGTTTCCCTTGAAGGGAAGCAGGGGTTGATTGCTTGAAGAAGGTGCCCAAACCCTGATCTGCAAAAAACAAAACACCGAACGGACCTTGCCAGAACTTGCCTTGGGAGTCTCGAAGACTGCGTTCGGCAGCTTGGCGCTCCTGGGCTTATGGCGTCCTTCGTGTTTGAAGGGAAGTCAAAGGGAGAAACCGAAGTCGTTCGCTTTGGTGCTTCCACCATAACATGTGGCCGCAAAGGCTTTGGCGTTGTTCGAAACCCAGAATCCTTTAAAGGGCGTCCACTCAAACTTCCAGGTCCAAAAGAACTGGCTTCTATGCGGTTGACAGCCAGCCAGAAAAACGGCTCTGTGTCCACGGGAGGTAGGTTGGGTTTAGGGTGGGCTTGGCTCCGGGTGGGTTCCAGGCCCATTGAGAGCAATTTTTTTGGGGGTGGCTGTGCTTGAGGTAGATGGTTTAGTGCTGGTTTCTGGCGGGGCTTCTTGGGGTTGGTCTCGGGTGGGTTTAGGGCTGGTTTAGGGTGGGTTTAAAATTGGCTTTGGCAATGGTTGTGTTCGAACCCAACCATGGCCGAAGCCGATTTTAACCCCACCCTAAACCAGCCCTAAACCCACCCGAGACCAACCCCAAGAAGCCCCACCAGAAACCAGCACTTCTGCCTCAAGCACAGCCACCCCAAACAAATTGCTCTCAATAGGCCACCCGGAGCCAAGCCCGAGCCAATATGGAACCCACCCTAAACCCAACCTAAAACCAAAGCCTGGTGATGCTGAGGATGTTGAAAATGATGCTGAGGATGTTAAAACGATGCCAGGCCTGAACCTACCCTCAACGGACTACCCTAAACCCAACCCAAAACTTTTTCCGTTAGTGTCTCCTTTTGTGCACGCCAGGCTGTGCCAGGGTTAGGCTAATGCCAGGGCTATGCAAAAAACGAACACCTCAGCCCACTTCGCATACATGAATGAATTCAAGGATGCTTCAACCAAAGCCTGGTGATGCTGAGGATGTTGAAAATGATGCTGAAAATGTTGAAACGATGCCGGGCCTGAACCCACCCTAAACGGACTACCCCAAACCTACCCTAAACCTACCCTGAACCCATCCCAAACCTTCGTCCTACCGAGGCGCCAACCAACCAACCAACCAACCAGCCAGCCAGCCAGCCAGCCAGCCAACCAACCAACCAACCAACCGTCAGGGTCATCCTTGTGCCAGGGCTAGGCAGAAGAAAAAAAAAACTGTCCATGCGAAGTGCCACGGACAAAAAGTTGTCCAGCTCAGGATCTCAAGAAAGCCGCCGCTACGATGGGGACCACCGCGAACCAGCAAAATGAATGTGCCATCTTCCACAACCCAGTCCCGGGAAAACCCCGGTGGCATCATGGCGACATATCATGGCATAGTTCAGCCTATATTCCCAGGCGGGATCCAATGCCGAAAAATAAAGAACTAAAGCAGCAAGGAGCACAAAGAGCAACTCCCTTTCCAACGTCGTGCGGACCAAAGCAGCAATGTTCTAGGCGCCCGCAGGAAACTACAGGGACTTCAGTAAGAAAACAGGCAGTCCGAGCCATAGACTATCTTCAAAAGGCTCAGCAGCAATGCTTGTCATTTGGCAGGCCATGCTGCACGGATTTAGCTTAGCGGGTGCGCTCATCAATTAGCAGAAGGAGAGAGGTCGCCCGAGCACGACATGTTCGGCCATGCCCAGAGCTCCCACAATGCTGCGGCCATCATCAGGAAAGGGATGTGTGCAACCGCTGTATGGGGATTTCCTTCTGTGCGCACGACTCAACCACGAAAAATGTCATGCAACAAATCTGTTTTCTTGCTGATTCTGCGCTCATCTGCCTGCCGAGCAAGAGCTGTTGGACACTGTTGGTCAACTGATTACAGCAAGCGGAAATGAGCCCGTCCCTTAGCCACGAACATATCCACCCTCCGACTTTTCGTCAATCCTGGTGTCCGTCCCTCGCCCCGAAAAAATGCTCGGCCACCCGGCACAGGCAGGGCAGAGCTGCACTTGGGGCAGATCAGCTCCTGGGAAACTGTATGGTTCGCGCTTGGTTCTGCTGTCGATGCAGCTTTTGCTCAGATGCCTAGTGGATTTCCAGCATCCGATTTTTGGTTGGTTGGGTTTAAAGGGAACCCTTCCCAAAAAAAGGGAAAAGAGGGCACCACGGGGCAACTGGGTTTGCCGTTCAGTCTTTCAAGGCCAAAGTTGTTTCCCTGCCTTGCCCTCATACCGCCAAAAAGCGCCAGGTTGGTCCTCTTCCCTCAGAGTTAGATGCAAAAAGATGCACTCCGAAACTGGTCCATTCTGCTGGCAAATCGGCATCCCCACTCGGCCAAAGGGAAACATTGGCAAACAGCAAGCACGCCCCTGGTGTTGTGGCTGCCCGTGGCGTGACGGCCAATAAAGAAGCTCAGAATGGGGGGGAGGCGAGGGTCCTGCCGGGCCACTCACCAGTGCAGCTGACGAAATGGGGCCAAATTTGGGCAGCCCTTGATTGGCTTGATTTGTCCCAGCCTCATCTCCAGCAGTGCAAACCACCCGAGGATACGTGCTTCAATGCAAAGGAACACCACGCCTCAATGGACAGCACAAAAGCAGGGGCCCTCCGTTGCAATCGCTTCATGATATCAAAGCCGAGATTCAACTTGCTGTATGCGTCAAATTCCGGCACTCTTTCTGAGTTTGTCTTTGAGCCGGAAAACCAAAACGGTTCAAGGACAAACTGCTAGACCCCTATTTTTCGTCCACCGACTGGGCGACCAACCAGAAACGACCCCCGAAAAGCCACCCCCCCGAAGCCATGCCCCGAGCGTGAGCCCCGCCCACCTTGTGCCCCACGCCCCAGGCCGCCATGCCCCGGTTCAGCTCCTCAAGGCGCACGAGTGGCCCGCTTTTACGCGTGACGGATGAATTGGCTGTGGCTCACTGTTGGTCTCTCCCAGAAAACACCAACCCTCAAAGAACACCCAATTTGTTGAACCAAAGACTAAAACCTGCGGTTTGCCAAGGGTCCGTAATTTTGAGCCACAGCCATTTGGCAATGGCAATGGATGTTTTCCGTTTGATCGATTGCTCATGACAGTGTCCAAATATGCTCTGGATAAGCCGGTTGTTGGGTTGAATGCGATCTCCAGGGCTGAATGTGAGAAAGGTGCAAGCAGTGCACAACACCACCACTTGCACGTGATACCCACTTTGTTTCATCATGTCAGAGGAGTCTGAGGCAGAGCAAAGTTGCAAGGAGCACCAACATTGAATTAGGTCAATTTGAATCTCCCGGCGCGGTACTCGCTTGCCCTCGACGTGGGCATGACAAGATCAAGCTCTGGCGTGTTCGTCCATGGTAGCATAGTTCAAAAGCAGCGATAGCCACTATGATGGACCGGCGAGTCCCGTGTAGATTCGATGCCCTGCCCACGCATGTGCTGCCTGAGAGAACCAGATTGATTGAATCCATGCGCTGGCTTCCGAGCTTGTGCCTGGCCCCTCACCCCCAGCCCACCCACCCCATCACTGAACGCTCTGCAGCTCGTGCAACATGACTCACGGATTCCTCCTGCTCATGCACCCCACTTAGCAGATGCGCTTCTTGCTGTACTTTATTGCTTCAGTGTTGTGTGGATCCACACTTCACCCCGCTCACATCCTCTCCTCCTCATGGCACTCATTGAGCTGCCGCAGCAGCCGCTGAAAGCGCGAGGAGGACCGCGAAGGCGAGGACATGGCAAGTGCGCGGACCCCGACCCAGGCGACCCGGCGACCCCGGGACCGCGAAGGCGGCCCCCAAGGGGAAACTCTCGAAAAAGATCTGCTCGCTTGCTTCCGGCTGGCCAGTCCGGGCGGCTTTTGCTCTTTCGGCGCTCGGCGCTGGGCTTTTGCGTGGCTTCGATTCGGCTGGATCGATGTGGTGACTCTTCGGATTCGGCTGCGGGTTGAGGTGCAGAAGTTGGGCCTGACGAGACTGCAGATTTTGGCCAGAGCTTACCGAGTTGTGTCGTGTCTACTCTCAAAATATCTTACTTGATGGGTTTGTGGCCCATGTGATTCTTGCCCAGCTTGCAATGTTTGGCAGGAGATTTTGTATAGTCTTGACAGGTTGACAGGCATCCTGCTACCACATTGGCAAACAAACAGGTGGGAACTCAGAAAAGGTTAAGGACCACAACCCCTCCAACGCTCCACGAGAACCCTAGCCAACTTTGGGCAGATGCGCTTGCTCAGTCTTCCCAAGCCCCAATTGAACTGCATTTGGACCCAACGCCCTGCTCGAGCAAATCTTGATCCATGATGTGGCCTGGAGTTGTACGCTCATGTCATTGATTTGATCAACTAAAGGAGTGTCTGGCCACATCTCCGTTTTTTAGCAACTCCGTGACAACTAATCCCTGTCTACTACCAGAAATGGCTAGGATAGAGAGAGAGAGAGAGAGAGAAGCAACCTGGCACGCTGCGGCCTAGCCCTTGCTTCCCTCCCGGCATCTCAGGGTGACAAGCGCCACCCTCCCCGAACGAAAAAAAGATACTATAAAACTCGGGTACTCCGATGAAAAGGGCCCTGACTTTCCTTCCCTGGCAAAGAAACATCCCAAATTTGGGCAAAGAAGCGTCAATTCCGAATCTGTAGAGAGACCTGATCATCTTCTTTTTGGGCCTTTGCACAACGCTAATCTGCACCACGAGCTGTGGCAACGGCGAGAGCCGAGGCCTAAGGAAACCGTTCCGAAAGTCCGATCTTTCGAGCCAACGTCACAGGTGCCTGGAGTTAAAGTCAGGCCCGGGCTCAGAAATGCCGCGTGTGAGACGAGAACTAGGCCCGGAGGTATGCCAGTGAACAAGGCAAAGTCCGAGTCCACGTCTCTGTCTCAAATCAAATCGAACAAGTTTGCCTCGGAGCCGGCACCTCAGGTCGCGCCTGGCCCTTCCTACGTTTAGCAGGCTGCATGAACCTTGCCGAGCCACTTGCCGGCAGATTTTCTAGGCAGCCTGTCAACTAATGAACTCAAAATGTCGCGCACGTCACGAGTGCCTCAGCGCAAGCAAGCGGGGGCAGGCACGCACCACCTGCCTAATTAATAGGATTGATTGAAACTGAGGCATTGCTGAAACGAGTCCTTCACATCATTCCAGACTGGTTTGTTATACGGACACCAGCCCCAAAGGGTCCCAAACTCAACTGTGTGATCAGGAAGCTGTTCGTCTGACCGTGATACAAGTGGGCGTGTCAAAAGCACCCTCGAAGCTTGCCTTGAATGAGGGACTTTGCTTGGAAGTTCAACTCAAACATGCCACGAAAACTGGCCATGCGAGTGAGTTGTCCGACTTGGCCATGTTCAAGCGCACGCACTGTCACCAAGTAGCGCAGCTTTGCAAGCCGGCAGCCAGCAGGACCTCGATTCGCCAGCCAGGGCAGCCAACCCACCCACCCCACCAAGCGACCAAGCCACCACGCAACCAAGCAACCAAGCAACCAAGCACGAGCAGAGTGCAATGCAACGCAATGCAAGGCAACACCTTGTTCGAACAAGGCAAGGCAATCCAGCAGATTCGACGCAAACAGGAATCCCATGTGTGAATGTGGCCTCTGAATTGGCGGACCGGAACCAATGCCAAGGAACCCGCTACTTCATCTATATGTGTATATATATATATACACCGTGCGGCATTCCCCGCTCGTGGACACCACTTGCTTGGCTCATGTGGCAAGTCAGCAAGCTGAAGGGAGACCACTCCGCACTGTTTCTGTGATCCTGCCAAGTTAAAGTAACAATGCCTTGAAGACGCGAGCCACGTGCTCTCTTTTTACAACAGCTGATTTCCAAATCATGCATGTTGACCCTCAGAACAGGGTGGAACTCCACAACATCGCCTCCCACCATTTATGTATATATATATATATATATGCAAGTGTGTATATACATATATATATATATATGTAGATGTTGTATGTTGTACATGTTTACATGTCATTCTGGGCGGCATCCCAAAGAAGCGAGCCCAAAAAACTATCCAAGCGATCGCTGCCCCCAAATCTGTGAATCCTTCGGGCCCAGCGCCATCATGGCAATGAGTCAGACACTCGGCTCAAAAGTGCGCCGAACGAGAACATCCAAAGACAGGAAGCTGACGGCAGGAAGATTTGGGCCCATTCCCAAACGGCCCTTCGACTTCTCCGATTGGAGACAAAGAAGCTAGCAACAGCAGGCAGCGCTAGGATCCGAAAGCCATAGACAAACTGGCCATTCGCCGCTTCTGACAATCAAGCCATCCGCAAATCCTGATGTTCAGCCAAGATGGACACAAAAAAGGCCGCCTCCCGCAGCCGAACCCCCCCCAGACCATTGGCTCCGAGCCGCGACTTGGGGCCGCTCAGGAGCTGGGCCCGAAAATAGTCCACTCCTCGGGCCGGCAAGCACCAAGCCAACAAAAGAAAAAGGAGTGGACAAACTGCCACGGTGGCTCTTGCAGATGGTCCTTTTCGCCAACAAAAAATAGAGGCGTGCTTTTTTTTGGGTTGTCTCTTGACCAGTCGAAAAAGGAGCCTTGAAGGGCTACGTCAAGCATGGCGTCTTGGCGTTCGGCCACTTTTGCCGTTCAGCCACCGAGCGTTTAAAGCGGAAAGGGCTGGCAAGAGTTCAAGCCATGCATGTTGCATGGTCAAGCATACGTGCGGCATCGCCGGTTTCGTTTTGTCATTGCGGTCTTCCCCTTCAGGGCTGACCGCCATCAACCCCAGGCAACAAGGCCTTTCTTGTTCTAGTGCTAAAGGGAAACCGAAAAGAAGAAAGTACCCCATTTGTTGCATGGTGTTACAGGAAAACTCCAAAAGAAGCCGCCATCTTGGGGGTCTCGGAAAAGAAGAAGAAACAAAGAGAGAAGAAGAGCAAAAACGGACGCGGCCTTAAGGTGTTTACCCAGGCACCGTTGGCCCCGGTGGCGCGCGCCGCCTGGTCCCGGCGCTGCACCACCTGCCCTGAGCCATCCAGGTACGCCCACGGCCTCACTCGGGACTCGGGGGATCCGGATCGGCGCTGCAGTCCCAGCAACAGATGATAGACAAACTTGTTGGCAGTGCAAAGGACATATGAGTTGAAGTCTAAAGAACCATACTCCCAAAACGGTTGGGATCCAAACAAAGTTGGTATCCAAAAAGGGTTTTAAGTCTATAGATCCAACCCAATAGACTGGCGCTTCGATCCCAGAATCATGGCATGTGTTCACAACGTGTTTCTTGGGTCAATGCCTAAGCCAATGCCAAGCATGTAACCAGCCAAACTTGCATTGCTTAGACTTTGTAGGGAAACGATTGAGTCCTTTTTCCCGAATCGAGTCGAGACGCGATTGTCAGACTGTGGCTGGAATGATTCGATTCCCAGGCAAATCTAGCAACCGACAATGGTCATTGCGCCACGACAAGCGAGTGAACCCCAGCCCATGCCCATTACAGCCTCTTCTCTGCCAAGTCGGGCGCAGCAGGCCCTTCAGCCACGTGGCCCCAGTATTCCGCCTGGGCTCAGCTTGCAAGGCGGTTTGGCACAAAGGTTCGAGCGGACCCCTGCATTTTGTCGCATAGCCATGGACCCTCAAGGGGGGCTATGGGCAGGGGGGGCTATCCCTTATTCAGCCCTTAAAAGGGCCTTAGTAAGGGCTTATCCTTGAGCTTTCCTGGGCTTATCCAGGGATAGCCCCCCCCCCATAGCCCCCCTCGAAGATTCCATGACAGAGTATGCGAAAACGCAAAGGGCAAGTCGCACATCTGCAAATTTGCGCGGTGTGGCCTCTCATGGATGGAATTCAGGCAGATTCCACCCAACTGCAGCCCAGGTGCCTTGAGCAGAATTGCCACCTTCGCCTGCCAGGGAGAAACTCCAAAACCCACTTGAAAAAAAAGAAGGAAAAAAAAACGATCCCCTCATGTCAGCATCAGCGGGACAAAACAAAAAACGTGAGCACTGCAGGCCTCCCCCGGCATTTTGTCGGTGTAAGCGACCTGCCCAGGTTGCGGAGGATGCGGAGGATGCATCGTCAATTTTTCTTCGCACCCTGCATCGTGTCCTTTGTCCTGCCTTCGCATTTGTCATATGAGTCTCAGACCATACATTTTTGTGGGAAACTTGGATGGGACCCCCGTGTCCTTCCCATTCGAAGAATATTTAGTACCGTTTCCTTTATTTTCTCTGTTTTTTCTCCGAGGCTCATACAGTATGTATGAGACAAGATCAAACGGCGTTTCCTCTGAGGAAAGGCGCTGCAGCTTGCAGGATAGGGTTTGCATCTTCTTTGCCTACACAACCTGCACTAGCCAGCAGCTTCCACCAGTCGGGCCGGCACCCCGATTCAACAGATGAGACCCAGTTTGCTTGAGCAAACCGGGGTTCATGTTGACCCCACATTCATCAACCCCTGTTTATTGATAGGGGGGGTGTCCATTTCTGGGTGAAAAGTGGTTGGAATCAGACCCCTTTTGGAGGGGCCAGAACCACCCCTCCAGAAATAAACAGGTGGGTTCAAATTCATCTGGGGCTAACATCACGGAAAACCAGGCCCTGGCCCAGGGACTCCTTCTCACTCCGTGCCATTGCGCCATAGCCTCGCGCAGCGCAGCTACCGCTTTCTGCGCCAGCGCTGACTTGGCGCTCTTCAGGCCCAGCGCGGCCGACACGAGGCCTGAGGCCAGCAACGCGACCAAATCAAAGCTGCCAATTGGAAGCATGAACAAAGCGCAAACTACATTTCGAAGACGAAATCCATCTGGAAAAGAGCTGCAGCCAAAACCCGAGGAGAAGTTCTGCCGCGTTTTTGTTTTTTCTTGTTGTGTTCAGAGACGCGCTGCAAGGGCGTGCTTGTCGTGGCGCGCAGGTGCGGACATGAGATGGATGGCCATGCGAGGTAGAGAGGCTCCTCGTTGCTTGTGCAGGTTGCATTTTGGGAACAGGGATTCTCTGAGTCGTGCACAAATCTGCTTCTGATGATAGACTACTGCATCATTACGGAGGAAAGTCAGAAAGAAAGTCAGACAGCCACAGTGAAACAAAGGATTCGGAAAATATGAAACACGGAAGAGACAAGAATGTCCATCAAGGGATATACTACACGACAAAGAAAGCAAACAAAGAGCGTCTCAAGTAAAATGGAGCGGAAACTCTGCCGGCAACAAAGGAGGAACCACGCACCTCACTTGCTTTCACATGTGCACGCTACCTCAAGGACTTCAATTCTAGGAACCGGTTTGGATGCGGTTTTTGTGGATCCACCCTTGTAGGATAGCAAAAGAGTACTAAAAGAGTATTACAAAAGGAACAACTAGCCAAACAACATGGGGAAACCACAGAAAGCGCATCCAATCCGTTTGCTGGATCAACGTGGAGACGACACGAACCTGACAACAAGCACACAAAATGCACACCTTTATGCAAACCTGCAGCTGGGATGATGGCATCAGAAATGAAGGACTGGACCGGACAATCCTGCAGTGTCCTATCTGCCAGGCGGCTGAGGTAACTAGAGCCGCCCTTGTGTCGCAAGAAGCTCACCGCCTGAGACAAAGAATCGGACGCTCGCATGGGCCCTCCCGCCTACAAACTTCAAACGCGACCAGAATTGGAACGAGCGCCTTATGCCTGAGCTCCTCTTCCGTCAGCTCAGGCTCTTTCGTGGCCTCCGTCTTTGGCGCTTTCAAAGGCTCCATTGGCTCATGCTTCGGCTCCCTCCTTTCCTTTGGCTCCTGTGGCTCCTTTGGCTCCTGTGGCTCCTGTGGCTCCTGTGACTCCTTTGGCTCCTGTGACTCCTTTGGCTCCTGTGGCTCCTGTGGCTCCTTTGGCTCCTTTGGCTCCTGTGGCTCCTTTGGCTCCTTTTGCTTCTTTGGCTTCTTTGGCTCTTGTGGCTTTGGCTCCCGTGGCTCCTTTGGCGGCTTCACCTTGGCCTTGGCTTTGCTCTTGCCCTTGGCTTTGGCCTTCTGCTCCTTCTCCCGCGGCGCCGAAGGCACCTCCTCCCGCGGGGCCGGTTCCGGCACGGGCTCGGTGGAGCGCTCCTGACGGGAGAGCCGACAGCAGGCCGGACAAATTTCCAGGTAGATTGGCCAAGCTTGCACTAAGATGTGACCAGCTGCTGGTCAAAAATTGGAAGGGACACGGAAAGAAAAGCTCAAAGGGCCCAATACCTACAAGAAAACCTCTGCTTGCGCGGTCCTCAGAGTCACCGTCGTCGTTGGGATCTTGCTTCTTTATTAGCTCCTGCCGCCCGACATCAACACAATTTTTGGAAGCACGCCCACTCAAAGCGATTCAAAAATGCACCAATCCAACGCCCATCAAGCGCTCCTCCAGTTCCTGACCATGCTTGCTCATCACAACACCTTCTTCATCGCCTCAGCCCAGAAGCCCTCAATGTCCAAGGAAGTGGCCAAGCAAAAATGGTTGGGTGCCTGCAACCATGGGAAATCAAATGAATTTGCGCCAAGACTGCGGCACTCCCAGAATGCCACATGAGCCAGCGCCGCGCTGTCTTACTTCATGTAGCCACGCTCCCAAGTTCCACTACGAAGAGCCTCCTCTAGTGAAGCAACAGAGGAGAAGCTTGCCCCAGAATACCAATGTTTGAATCAACTGCTGGAGCCCTGTTCGAGTCCACCAAACGAACAAACAACCTAGGACACAGTGGCGCACAAAATCAGACGTCTTGCTGTATGTTGCGGGATGCTCCCAGGTCTTGCTTCGACATTTCAGAGGAACTGTCAAGCCTTCCTCTCCTCAAGTGCATCCCCAAAAGCAGACACGGCAACGGCCCATGATCTTGAATTGAAGCCGATGTCCCAAAAGCTTCTGCATCACCAGCATACGCCCAAAACCTTGTACAAGGTCAGAATGAATCTTGCCAGGCAACGAAGAGACACGCAGGATGTGGGGTGCATCGCACCAACACCAAGATCCAAAAACCCATTGCCCAAGATCCAAGATATTAGATATTCATCCATGATAAGTCACAGAGCCCGAAGAACCTACATCCCCTTATGCGAGGGACCTGGTGCCTTGCCAATGCACAAGTGTCTTTCTTTGGAATGCGAGCATCAGCAAATAGAATAGCTCTGATCTGGGCAAAGACACTACAGGGCAGGGTTCCACTTTCTGACTAAGGTAAACTGAAAGCCAGGGGTGGTTGAATTCCACCCAAGACAGGTTCCACTTTTTGATAAGTCTACCCCAAGGTAGACCTAAACCCAGGGGCTTTAAATCTCACCCAAAAGACACCTCTGGGTTTAAGTGTGCCTTAGTGAACGTGGAATCCACCTAGCGGCAGTCCAAGGAGCCCCTCGACAGCGGTCCCTCTCTGCGATCGCAAGCCCCTTTGCGCTGGACTTAGGTGTATTTGCGGAGGGGTGTAGACCCTTTTCGTCTTGGTTAAAGGGAAACCAAGAGGAAAAACACGGATATGTTATGTGTATTTGCCTCGTTCAAGCCGGGTTCACACAAACGTTCTGAACGAAAACCACTTCCTTTCTTGGGAGGAATTCCCCTTTTGACACATCGCATTGACATCTTTCGCCGCGCGGCTGTCGCTTTCGACCTCCTCGGGCGCCAGCACGGCATGGCCCTCGATGGGCTCCCGGCGATCCTCCTCCTCCTGAAAACGCCGGTCGTTTTTGTTGTTTTTTTCCTCGAGGAGTCCCCAAGAATTGGTGCCACTCGAGTTTCCACCGAAAACTGAAGAAGGGTTCCCTCCGATTTTGGACACAAGGCAGGCGCAAGCCGTGACATTCTGAGGGAACACACCCTGAGCATGTCCTTGAAATTAATCTCATTTGGCTGCCATGCCAAGGCACTGCCAAAATGTGCCCGCATTCTGCGCAGGCTGTGCAAAGATGTGATGGAATTCAAAAAGCTGCACAAAAACCAAGGAAATGTCATCCCTTTCATGCTCACCTACCGGGGTCCTTGAACAATCTCAGCTATGCTCAAAGATCCACGTGCTGTAGCGAGGAAAGCGGCGCAACCCGCATTGCCGTTGTGGGGGATTAGAGCAAAATCCTCTTGTGAAATATTGGACCGCTAAGGAGAGAATTTGAAACACGAACGAACAGCACGATTTCGGAGGACATGTATGTACCCGAGAGCTTCCCAAGAGTCACAGGTCCAGAAATTGCACTTGCCATGGCAAGTAACCCCTCAAACGATCAATTCGAAACACACACACACACACACACAGCTACTATCAACTGGTTGGAAAACACGAAAAACTGACGCCTGTCGACCAAACAAAAACATTCGCGATCCAACCCCGTCGTGAAAAGTGCGGTCCTGCTCGTCATCCGAAAACTCTTCCGCATCCTCAAAGTCCCAAAGGCCCTCACCTGTAAGGCATCTGAACATGGCAACTGGTCCTGAAATACAATTGGAAGATGTGGGACAATGCGCTGGCTACAACCCCCCCCCCCCCCCACGACGGCCCACAGGTCGCATAGCACGTGAAGAATGAAGATACAATTGCGACTGTGGGAAGTCTCCTGTTTACGATCCTATGGGTCGCGCAACAACTCCCCACAGGTCACACGGCAACTCAAGGCGCGCTGGGGTCATGTGGGAAGATGCCCATTTGCAACCCCTACAGGAATGGGAGTTCAAAGCGTGGTGGGGAATATAAGATTTTGCCAACCCACGCAAAGAAAGCACCAACCCTCCTTCCGTTATTAGCAAAGCCAGAAAGCGAAGAGGCTAACTCATGTTGCTGGCAACAACTTGTGGGATTGCAGTGCGACCGACTGAGACTCGTGAGATGTAATTAGCATGGCGCAAGCGCATCAGGATTTACTCCTGAGGACGCAGAGCCATAGTAAGTGCAATCTTTGGAGGCTTCCTGTTGCCGGGAAGAGCTTGCGCGAGTTGCTGGGAGGCGTAGAATCTAAAGGTTAGACTTTTGGCCTCTGAGATTTACACTCTTCTACCCTTTTACAATACCCGTGGGTCACATGGCAACTGATGGGAGGGGTGGGAGAATAAGGTGCGATTGGTGAATGTAGGAAGAGTCCCGTGTACAATCCTTGCAGGTCACGTGGCAACTGAAGTGGAAGAGTGTGGCAAGAACCCATTCGTCCCGCCTCTCTCAGACTTTAGCTGCTTCAGTGCGTTGGCTGTCTCAGGCACATCCTCCACATCCTCGTGCTGGTTCTGTGCCTGGACGAAAGAAGCCCCGGCCAAGTGCCGAAATAACGGTCGGATCCTGTGTACTCAGTGCATCAAACCAGCATCCCGTCCAAACGGAGCTTGAAAGTGGAGTCAACTAGGGTGTTTCCTTTTGACGCGCACGCACACACACACACACACACACACACACACACACACAACTTCTGGCAATTGGCACCCGGTAACTAGAGGCATTCTGATTTGGCACAGCAGTCAGCACAGCAGTTTTGTTGTGCAACTGCGCCTTCCAGTGTGTGTGGGCAGGGGAGCAGCTCTGTGCAGTGTGTCTGCAATCAGAAGTGCAAGCAGTTGCAAGTGTCCAAGCATTTGAGGCGATACAAGCTGTCCAGGGTGGCGAAGAGACAAAAAAATGTCACCATCCAAGGGATGCTGAACCAGAAAAGGCGATGGGCCCAGATAGGCCTGACAATCAGTGTCAGGAGCAACAACTTCCAGGATTGCATGCCAAACACGCAATGTGTTCAAAGCTTGGAAAACATGCACAAGGATGCTGTGGAGCAACGCAAGAGATCTGACAACTCCGGCATCAGCTTTGTGTCGAGTACGATCCCTCTATCTCTCGATCACTGTTTTTGCGTGTGATGTCATCTTCCCCACCAACTTCCAACTTGCGTTTGCCACTACATCCTTCCGAGGGATCAGCAATGCCTGCACATCTGCACTACCTTCTGAATTCTCGCTTGATCGCTGCAAGCTCTCTAGGGACGCTTCCTTGGGCTCAAACTCTGCCCCACGAATTGCAGGGAATTGCCGTGGTGTGCCTCGTCATTTGCATATTCAACGGGCGTAGAACACCTTAGTTCTCCAAATATGCAGGGGAAAATGGAACAACTCTCCCTCATGCCAAGCATCTGAGACACTCAAAGAGCAACTTTGCTTCGTTGATCGTCATCCCTTTGCTCACAGATCATGATTGAACTTTGCACCAAGCGTTTCATGGCTTTGAGTTGAAGAATCGGGACCGGCCCCATGAGAACATCCTTGGCGCAACCGATTGACTTCCAATCAAGAGAAAGACTAAAAACGTGGGGCCTACCTGATTCAAAAAGAAGAGAAAGCTGGCGGCATATCTCTTCAGTCTCGATCCCCGCCTTGGCCTTCTTGTGCCGCGCCTTCCGCTGCGCCTTCTGCTCTGCACGGTCCCGCGCCACGCCAGACAGGATGCCTTAGGCACCGCGGCGATATTCGCACATCGCTGGAACGTGGGACCCTGTCCGAATCCATCCAATCCGTGATCACGACGGAAGCAGCCTGCATCCACCAAAACCCATCAAGAACTCCTTCACCCCCCATCCAAACCCATGCCAAATCCAAAAAAAAACACAAAAAACTATGCAAAGCTATCAAAACCCAACTTCACCCCACCCCAAACCACGCCGCTGAGCTCGGCGTCGTTTTGCTCCATGCCCGGCTCCGCCAGCTGCTGCACCGCTTCTTGCAGCCAATGCGGCCGCGCGCGCAGCTCCGCTTGCAGCTGCTGCTTCCTCGCTTCCAGCGATCCCAAGGCTGGGCCCATCCACAGGGAAGACATGTGTAGACATGTGTAGTTTAGTTCACCCTTTATGGTGATATTCTTGCATTCAGATCGGGGCTATCAGCAACAGCACAATTGAATACCTTTTAGCCAGCAGCTGCCTGTGGTTCCCACTTTCTAAGGGTGGAAGTACATACCCCTTGTTCATACCGACTCCTTGGCTTCCACGGTGTCCAACCCACTTTACACGGGGTATATATATATATATATATCTCTTTGGGATAGGGGGATGAACATCAGCAGGCCTTTTGGGTTCCTTTGTGCAAGGGGTATGTAAAAAGGGGATGTACAAGCACCCCTGAACCCATCCAAAGGTAAGACCAAGCCTAAACCATCCCGGAGAAAGGAACAAATAAAGCAACCCTGAACCAGCCCCTAAGCTGAAACACGGGAATTCATTCCTGGTGTTTGAATCCCCGCTCAGAAACCAAAAGGTTGGTTTAAAGAACAAAAGCATCCAAAAAACAACAGGAAGCGGTGTTGGAATTGGAGGGGAAACGGACCACCTGGCTTTAAGTTTTGGCGCGAAACCAAAGGGTGAAAGATCATCTTGGATCCATGCAAATCGTTCTCTGATTTGGTTCCCTTATATAGAATGAAATGTTTGACGTTGCCGAACCCAACAAACAAGCAATACGGGTGCCACTGACCATGCTGAGAGTGATTGGGCCAACCCCCTGCTCAAACAGGCTTTGCCCACCGTTGCTTTTTCACAACCAAAACTTCTCCAAAACTTCGAGGATGCTCCGCAAGGGAGGGTCTCGCTATGGGGACATCCGGACTCGGTTGGTGCGACCCCTTGCCGCCAGGCCGCTCATGCCAGGGCATGGACTCCAGCTGTTCCAGCTCCTTCAGGCATTGCCTACCAGATCGGCGGACGAGGGCAGACCGGTGATTTTCCATTCAAGAGGGCTCTGTTTGCCACCTTTGGTGCGAAGAATGGGCGACCCCCTGAAAAAGGAATCCTTCACTACGAAAAGGTCGAACACTTTTCCACAGAAGGTAGCAAAAAGACTCCCCTGATTCCAGTGTGCGAGATGTTGAAACGGCCAAGGCCCTCAAAAGGCGTCTCTTCGAAAAGGACTTCGCTGCTCGCGCTTTGAAAGATGCTTACGTGGACTCTCTGAAAGCTTGAATTATGCTTTAGACAAACTATACACAAAGCTGATGGGTAAGTCGGCACAGCTAGAATCCATTTGAATGTATGTTGAGAATTTGTCTTTGTATCTCTTGTCACCTTCACTGTGCTCTGTGTTCAAAACGCAATGGTACCTATCGCAACGCTTGCCAACTATCGTGATGAGTTCCATCCATCATACTATCTGCAGAATTGGACTCACTACAAACAATGACACAGAATTAGAACGCTCCCTACTGGTCTGCCTCCCAACCCGAGAATTTCTGGATCAAAGCACATTGAACGACCCTTGCACCATGTACTGGGTCATCTTTGGCAAGCCTTCCTGTACGCCTGATCCTTGGGTTCAAATCAGCTTGGTTACCGCAACCTCGGGTATGACGGAGGAAGCACTGCTTGACAGGCGAGATCCTTCAACATATATTTATTTCCCGGGATTAAAAAAAACACAAAAACACTCACCTCCCAGTTTCTGGCGTGAGACCCACTGTCTCGGCCGGGTGAGGGAGTGCTAAGACCCTGCGCCGGAGAATTCGCCCTGACTGAGAGCAAGTCGCATTGTGCCCAGCGAGCTGATGGACTTCAGAACGCCAAGCACCTGGGTCGCAAGAGTTCAGCTTTGGGCTTGGGAATGTCACTTGTGCCTCTTTGCATGTATGCTTTTTTCCACCTCCGAGCAACCTACTGCTCAGCTTGGAGAACCTGATCCGGCAACCCCTCAAATGTTCACCATCCAATGAATGCACAGGTTCTCCAGCAGCAAAGGAAGTGACGAATTCGGACCCGGCCTCCACGCCAACGCCGTCCCCTGTGTAGCTGAAGTCTCCAAGGATCTGCGCGCGGATCCTTGAGCCGCCTGGCATTCGGTGACAAAGAGACTTGATCATTGCTTCAAACCGATGTCTTCCGATTTCAACCATCAAGAACAAAACAAGTGCAGGGCTACTGGAAGTTGCCTAGACATCCTGCTTCGGGACACTAACGGTGCCCCATTCCACCCACCAGCGAAAAGAATGAAGTAACGTTCATGTCCGTCTACGGGCTAAACAAACAAATACAAGTGAAGACGCAAGACACGGAGGGCAAGCAGCGGTCAGGCAGAAAATCAGTGATTGAACGTCAGCCCAAGCCACAAAGGCCACAGGCGAGCGCAACAAACAGCAGAACTAAACAATGAAGTGCAGAGAACGGGCAAAGAACAGTGGCCGTTCAAATCAAAAATATGACCATTCATGGGGGGTCGCCTTAACAACAAATTTCACCCTAATTCAGCAAATCAAACCACAAAAACTTAGCCCATGAACAGTCACCAATGCAAACCAACAGCCGATGGCCTGAGGCGTCGGTCCAGCGGCCGGTGCGCACTGCGCGGCGCTCCAGCATGCCGTTCCAGCGGTTGTCCTGCTCTCTCCGCAGAAGAGCCTCCTGCGCAGAGAAGAGGTGGGCAGACCCGTTGCCGGCCCGTTGCCCCTTTTTGACCCACAGCCACCTATTGAAACGGGAGATGGGCCGCAAAGACCAAAGAAGCCGCTCATTCACTTGGCCGGATCATCTGCTGGTGGACAAGCAGGCAAAAAAGCCTTAGCTTAAGCCACTTGCCTGCCACACTCTGTGCAAACTCTCGCGCTAGACAAGTCAGATCTGCACGAAAGAAGGGGTTCGTGGCATGGACCTGGAGGATTCTGAGGACGCAGGCACATCAAAAGCACCGATGGCGTGCCCCATCTGCGGCTTGTCGAGTGTCCTTCTTGAGGCCCTCCTCGCCGAAGTTGCGGTACCTTGGATTGGGCAGTCCAGAGCCCACTGCATCTTTGCGGTCTTCACGATCTACTAGGTCTTGATGTCTGCTTCTCACCTTACTTGACTTTTCTTGTACTTGGCGGCTTGTCAAGCTCAACCATGCTTTCTGGATGTCTGTTTCTCACTTGACTTGACTTGTCCATGTTTTCTGGGCATGCACAAGCACTGCCTCTCCCGTTTTCCCCATGCTTGCCTTGCACGCGCATTTCGGCCGGACTTGCCTCACCCGAAGCCCGAATCACGTCCATCCAGGTCGCGGCCGCTTGCGCTTCTTGCCTCGGGGCCGGCGGGACGCCGTCAAAAGAGGCCATGAGAGGCCATGTGGCTGTGGGTCAAAAATTGGTACCCCAAATGGCACCCTGGCAAATGGAAACAATGACTAAATCCTGTGGCATGTGAGGCTTCATGCCAACCCCTTGACCACAAGAAACTCACTTGCGACAGAGAAACTCAGAAACTCAGAAACTCAGAAACTCAGAAACTCAGAAACTCAGAAACTCAGAAACTCAGTTGATCACTAAGTTCATATGTTTGCCGCCCAGAAGAAGCTCGGTTGCGACAAATGTCTTTGGGACATGCGACATTGGCCATCCAAAAATTCGTCGAACGCAAGACTTGTCTGCCCCTCCTTCTTATTGCAGAAAAACTTACTTGCAAAGCGCTGAAAGGCCTCCCACTTACTATTCACATGGCACATGAGGACCAGCAAACTGAACAGGCAACAGGAATGTGGCTTATACGTTCCTAAGTTGACATAAAATTGTACTTATATATGGTCACCCTCCCCATGATCTATCGTTTCCTGTTTGAGGCAGCAGGCATGTTTAATCTGGTGTCGTGGTTTTTTATAGACTGATGTTCAAAATGCAGAATCATGAATGTGCAAAACCCTGACCGCAACTTAGTTTTTGGGGGGAGCATTCCACTTTGAGCTGGGCATGCTAAAAAGGCATGCATGTTTACAGTCGGTTCTTGTGTTTTACGCTTGCAGGGTATCAAAAACACTGGTCGTGTATTTGTGTTTCTTTACTGTGCAACAACTGTAAGCTAGGTTTTACTCTTGCAGATGTGTTGGGTTCTTGGGAGGGAGAACGCTAAAAGAAAAGATAAAACAAACAAGTTGACGGCGACACTGACAAAACCAACAAAACATCTCTAAAGGAAAATCTATGGTTTCAGCCCCAAACGGTTTGTGCTTTAGTTTTCCCGAGGTTCTTTGTTTGTTGTTGTGACTTTCCCGGTTGTTGTTTTCTTGTGTAAGTATGTATCAGTTGAAAGCCAAAAGCTCCAGCTGTTTTTGGTTTTTGGACATCTGGCAGATTGTGTTTTGTCTTTTTATTTGACCGTGGTCTTTGTCTTCTTGTTGCCCTATGTGTTTGTTGTTTTCATTTGCCTTGTCCCCTCCCAAAAACCAGAAAAGCTCAAACCGTTCTTGTCCTTCTGACACGCACAAAATTCCGACAAAACACCAAGTTGTTTTTTTTGGAAGAGCAAACACAAAAACAAGTGCTGGTGTGTTCTTCCCAAACAGGACTTTGCTGAAACAAATATTAGACTTTAAACACAATTCAACATGGACAGCATCCAATTGGAACTTTGACATCGAAATCAAACTTCCAAAGCTAGCGCTGAAGTTGACCCAAGCCTCATATCCTGGTAAGGCTCCTTAAAAAGCTCCTTACAATGCTCATTGTAAAGCTCTTTTATAAGGTAAGGCTCGTTATACATCTTATAGCAAAGCTTCAGATAAGGCTCCTTCTAAGGCTCCTTGTGCAAATCCGTCGAAAGCTGCTTGTAAAGCTCCTTATGAGGCCTCTTGCGCAGCTCCTTACCAAAGAGACCACAAGGCTCCTTACAAGGCTCCTTGCAAGACTCCTTACAGGCTCCTTATACCAAGTAATAGGAATTGAATGTTAAAAGATACGTTGCATGGGAATCAATCAGCAAAACAAGAATATGTCTATTCAGACTGAGGATGTAAGGAGGTATTCCGTTCCAGCATGATGCCCATTTTAAAAGAGATTAAGTATAATGTAATAGGGAAGGAGTTTAATCAGAGATTGACTAAGTTTAGATTAGAACTTGAGTAGAATTCGATAATGATGGAATCTTACTAGGATTTCTGTTTTGAAATAGAATGGAGCTGATTTACAATTGCACCTCGAGCAACACACAGACAGGAAACATATGCAATGGCCTGCAAATGGCACCAGACATCTTTCAAGAAACATGTTGATTGGATAGGCAGATGACACAGAACACAGACAGGAATGATATGCAAAAGGTAGACCATTGGGGGGGGTCTCAGCATACACTAATATATATATATATATAGATAACAAGTCAGAAATGTCAACTAGCTATGACATTGACAATACCGGGCTCTTTGCCAGGCGCTGGGTTCTGCTTCTGTTGTGTTGATCTTTTCATGAAAAAGGACCTGGATCACTCCCGGAACCCACTTCAAGTCAAACTCACAATCTGGAGGATGGCTCTGCTCTCTCAACTGGAATCACGCAACAGAGACAAAAAATATACATGTGCTTCAGGCGAAATAAATTGCTTCATGACCGTTGCCAGCAACATTCATAAGCCTTTGGGATGTATTGTGGTCCGGGTTTGGCTGGGATGGTCGCTAGCCCTTTCATTTGGAATGTAGATCATTGCAAGGGTTCCTCTTAACCACCAAGCAAGAGTAACGACCGCGAACGCGAAAGAGGACGCAAAAACGTTGTGCCTCTTGTCCAGCGTAAATACTCTTCGACGGACACAAACCATTTTGGTGGCTTATGCGACAAACCCACATCCTCCTTATGCTCCCAAAACGGCCGAGCGGCCTTTCACCTCCTCACTGGCCTCTTCCTCTTCCACGTCGAAGCCCGCGCGCTCGAAGTTGTACCACGCCTGATGAACGGACAAGCAGGAAAGCAAGGCACTCAACGACGAGTCTTATGCCTACCATGAAGGGAACATATATTGCGATTGAGACCACTGACAAGAAGACCAATGGACAGTACCCTTCCTCATGCAGGACTTGCAAAGTCGTACTGCACTGCGTCGAAACAGTGCTGCGTCCACTATCAGCCTCACCTCGAAGACATTTCAACTCGAGAAGAGGCCCCCAAGAGGCGATTCAAGTTTTGAGGTTAACACAAGGACCACCTAGCAGAGCCGTCGCGTTTGAAGCATCCCTCAGCTTGATACTTCCAGGTAGCATCCCCAACAGCAATCGGAACGCTTGCGGCCGCTCCCAACCATTCTGCCGCTTTTCTCGGCAGCCAGGCCTTCAGCAACTGGAGAAACCAGATGGAGATTCCAAAGGCCCGCTAGCAGGTCTTACGATTCGGAGACACCGGAAGGCAGGTTGCGGGAGGCCAAGGAAGCGGTCTCGTCGATCGTTCCGGGACCCTCTGAGGCCCCCCGCGCCCACCGGCTGCAGCTCGAAGCGCCCGTCCTCCCGAGTCACCAGCCTGAGAGTGACCAGTGCAGCCAGCGCTCGGAGATCTGATAACCCGCGTGCTACAAGTTCGGGGCCTTGAATATCCTCCGTGTTTTGCAGGTATCCATGGCACTGCAGCTCCTGCTACCCAGCCAGAAGCAAACTGGTCTCAGCTACAGCTCAAACTATCATGGAGCCCGTTGCGTTGTTTTCTGGTCTCGACGGCAGTGCAGGGTCTATATCCGCTTGTGAAGAGCTGCAAGTGAAACTCAGAGATCTGTTGGCACCAATCGGATCCACTTGTCTATGACTGTACTGTGAGCTTTGGCTGGATCAAGTTCTTTCCCACACCCGCTCTCAGGCGAACGGCAGCTTCGGCCAACCAAAAGCGCCCGAACCCCCCAACCCCCCAACCCCCGAAGCCCCGAAGCCCAAGGCGCAGCCAGTGGAGATCCGGCTTCATGTCTGCCTCGAGACCGCGGCAGTCCCCATAGCTCAGCGCGCCCTGGTCGCTGCACACCTGCCGAGGCACCTGGGGCTCCTGTCGCTCGTAGGTTTGCTGAGAAAAAGCCGGGCCCTCGGGTGTAAACTTGGAAAGAGAACAGCTCCCAAGTGGCCATGAACACATTCCCCCTTTGCCTTGGGCGGACTACGCGGCCGGCGCCAGTCAGTCCTGATGGCTCGCTGCTGGCGCTCTGCCTCGGCACTTGCAAAGTGGCACCGTCTCTGTATTTTATCCTGGAGGTGCGCCAGTCGACAACTGTCCCAACTGTTCTCGGAACTTCAACATTCAGTAGGAATGGTTGGCAATTCCGCTTCATGCCGGCGGCGTTTGTCGTTGGTTCGGTCAGCTTCCCGTTTGCAATGCTGCTTGGGCTGCTACCAGCGTGCCAGAACTGCCTCTGTGTGCGTGCATGTGTCTGCGGGAAGACGCGCGGCGCTTGAGCCCGACGCAGCCGACGCCCACATGCCCCAAGCGCCTACAGCCACGCCCGGCCCCAGCGGCGCCAGCACCACTGCCATTGCTCACGCCATGCGCCTTCGAGTTGGACTGAGGGCTTGGAGGGAGACGTATCAACTAGCTGGATCTGGGTTGCAACCCTCAGATTGCTTGTGAGCTTCTATGTGGGTCTGGAGCTGCCTTTCCAGGACAATCATGTCTGAACTCACCACATTCCTGCCCAGTGCAGAGGCGCAGGCCGAAGCCGTCAAAAATTCAAGGCAAAACCAGTGAATAGAACTGGCGTCACCATGCACCACTATCCACAAGTGCGTTTGCAAGGCTGAAACATCTGTATCTCTGTGTCTGCCTGCCCTCCCGTCTGTCTCTTGGTCTGTCTGTGTGTGTGTGTGTGCGTGTCTATGTACTCAGCTAGCTCTTCAACACCTTGCCTTGCTGAAGCCAGGTTGCGCCTGGTGTTGAGATGTACGGCCTTGAAAACTGCTGTAGTAAGCCCAATGTTTTGGTTCGACAGGGCATCAAGTCTGTGGCTGAGACTTGCATGGGTCTTGAGCAGCTGCGGGGTTTGAAAAGCCATGATTTTACAGCCATAGCACGCATGTTCTGCAGCCGAGTGCGTGCGAGCTCTGCACCATTTGCCATACCCGTCAGCCCGTCCGCCACGAGCATCTCACTAATCACCATGTCTAACCCCTCGCAAGCTTGTGCTGAGACGAGGGCGTCAAAGAACTGAGCTATGAAAACTCATCTATCCCCGAAGTCGAATTCACGTGCTCTCCCCAAGCACCGGCAAGCATGCATCCCACATGGACTAGGTCTGGAGAAGCTCCGCCTCTGTCAGAAGGAAGGCGACAAAGTATTTGTCTCACCAAAGAGACTGGTTCGGTCAAAGTGTGGGTGGGAACCGTGCCACTTCAGCAAACACGGTCATTTGGACCAACTTGCAGTTGCAGGCCAACTTGCGGTTGCAGGCTCAGCTCTTCTCAGCTGAATGGTGCAGCCTGGAGCAGACAGCGATGACTGCTGCATTCTATGTGCCATGCGGTCTAACCAGGTCTCTTCAAATTCGGACTGCCACAAAACCCTCACCTCCAGGCCGTCTTCGGCCCTCCACTGCCACAGTCTTCCCCAAACATGTCATATTTGTCTTGTGCAGAGAAGTGTCAGAAACCAGGAACCCCTCCGATCGGTCAGCTTCCTGTTGGTTCGCCGTTAAGTCCATCCACAAACCGCCCCAACTGGATTGGACTCTTGCCTGGCCATGCATGCCATGCAAGCCATCAAACAAACAAAAAAGACGCTATTGCTCCCTAACATGGACATGTGAAAAGTCGTGACCCCTGGAATTTGTGTGTGTGTGCGGGGGGAACGCGTTGAGTCCCCATGTCCTCCAAACGAACACGACGGACCCGTCGGCCTCAGCTTGGCACGAAGCAGGCGGCCCAGGAGGCACTGCGTCGGCACTTCTGGGCGGGTGCCTGTCAGAAGCTTGGGTCGGTTGTTGGCATTCTCAGAGGGAAGAGGCTGTCACCTGGCCATGGGTTTAAAATCCGAAGCGTATCCCCAGTGAACATCCCAATCCCCAGTAAAAATGGTTCTAATATGGGTGGTGAATTCACCTGCCCCAAAAATTACCAGTGGTTTTGACACACAGCCAACCTTGCTTGTTGGTGTGCGTGTGTATGTGGGTTTGTGCATTAAATCTTCCGCCACGGCAGCAAGATGCAGAAAGAGGACGCGGGGAGAGCATCCGAGCCTGGATGGCATGGCTGATCATCGGCACAGCCTTCATGCCGCAAATCCTCCTCGGGAGCCATGGTCTGTCTGCCAAATGCAAGCGACATGGTCCTTTGCTGCACGACCGTCCTTATGCCGTTTTGACCAAAGGCCAGGAATGGAACCCAAATAGACATGGTCCAACCAGGTCCAACCAGGAACCAGGAATGGGTCCACCAACAGCCACAAACATGTCAGAGCTAAGAGGAAAATGTTGAGGGATTGCTCATTGGCATTCATGAAACAGTATCGCTATCGTGTGCGCAGTGACTCTGCTGTCACAGACTTTAACAAATGCAACAGCTCCACAAAATATACTCTCTTCAAGAGAAATGGACACGTCGCGGTCTATCCTCGCCCTCAGAGAGGCTGCCTATCACCCACCTGGTCCAAAGGGCAATTGACTCCAACAACCTGACCGCGGACCCGCCTTGAAAGGAAGTAGTTTACAACAGAAGATTCGAAACACTCCCTTGCAGAACAAACCCAAAGAAACGTTCCTTTTGAAGAACATAGCCAACAATTGTTCCTCTTTATCGCAACCCGGGTTTTCCCTTTGAAGAAGGCAGTGGCCGGAACAGCTCCCCCGGCCCTCCGGGCCAGCCATCCCGCCATCCCGGCCTGAGCGCCAGCATGGCGGCGCGGCGCACGCGGAAGTCCAAGTCCTTCAGCCGCGCCTGGAGCTCCTCCACCGCGCGGCCCTTCGCCTGCAGCGGGGCGAAAACGGACGAAAACGGGCGGGGGAATGGATGTTACTCGGGGTGGGGGTGGGGTAGGGGGCTCCATATCATTCTTTCTAGTAGGCGGACAGGTTTTCAGAAAGCCTAAGAAAGACAACGAAAAGTGAAATAACACTTTCAAAGTCGATACCCATCTTGGTGACAACGGCAATACCACAGGCCTGTTGGCACAGCTCGCCCAGCGCATTTGCCGCTTCCGCCTGCACGATGGCCGCATCGCTCTCCAAGCTGTGACCTCCGGACACAAAAAGTCTCCAGGCCAACACTCGAACTCGGCAAACTGAGACCGCCACAAAGGGCCGCAATCACCGCCTTGTCTCCAGGCAGAGCCACCTGCGAGTTCACTTCTGACACCAGTAGCTTAAGCCTTAAGCCTGCAGCACAATGTGGGTCTGTCTTTTTTGGCGAGATACCCGTTTTTGGTGGCTTTGGATGGAAGACCAACAGAAAAACCGATGCCATTTTGGGGGGTTCGGTACAACAGAGGACACATTCAGATCCGCGCCCCTTGTCTCTTGAATCCTCTCGCCTTCGGCAGTGCTGCGGCCACATTCGCCCGGATGGCCGCGTCCTTGGTAGCTAGGGCTTTCGGCAGGTGATTTCACCATGGCCGTGCTCGGCCAATTTTTTGTGGACAAGATAGCAGTATCATGTTGTCAGAGACTCAAGATGTTGCCTTCAAAACATGGCACTCCGAAAGGCAGGAAGCAATGCTCTGTTTCAACTTCTCCTTCAGTTACGTAAGCCCAGCCACCTGTTTACACACCTTCAATTCGTCTATCCCTCTGAACGGGGGTCTCCAGCAACTGCTTGTTGAAACATCAGTACTGCCCTGTGTAGCTTGCCTGAAAATCCTCACAGGGTCCAGTAAATACCTCATGCTGGTTCAAACAGAAAACACCGCATTTGTGCAGTAGGTTTCGTCAGAAAATGGTCCATGTCAAAATAGTAACTCGGGGAAACCACCACCCTGGGCTGTCCAAACACTGATCTCCTGCTACAAGTGAATATATTTTAGTGGGTTAAATACAGGCACCCAACCACCTTTCACCAACAAGATCTTAAAACTTGACCCCAACCCCCACCTGTCACCAACGAAAAAGATCTAACCACCCAAGCCCAACTCCCACCCAAAGAAAAAGATCCACCAAACCTTTCAACCGAAAAAAATGCCAACCTTTCCCTTGAAACCGGCCTGGGACCCCCCAGACCCAAGCCGCCGGCCTGGTGGCCCAGCCCGAAGAGGACCCCGGCCACGGCCACGGGGTCCCCGCGCTGCGCCAGGCTCGGCAGCGCCGCCGCCGCCGCCCGCCGCAGCTCCGGCAGCGGGTCCCTGGCCGAAGGGGCAAACTCTGGGAGGCCAAGGGGAAGTTCTTGTTCTGGTCCCCTTTTAGTGTGAAAGTGCGAAGGGGCAAGAGGGAAACCACCCTTTGAGGGTTGGCGATATGGCGGTAAGTGCTTCTTTCAAGGTTCCATGTCCCCTTTTCCTGGACATCAGGCAAAATATCCGGCCTCATGCACTCAGCCAAAGCACAAATGGCCGTGGAATCGCTGCGCTTCCTCTTGCAATTGCCATGAACACCTGCCAATTGCACTACTGCTTGAATGGCAGCCACACGGTTTGACACGTCTTCGTCGCTTCTGAGCAGCCTCAAAAGCGCGCAAACGCTTGTGGGGTCGCCTTTCTTGCCCAGCGCTCCGAGAGATTGGGCAGCAGCACCGCGGATCAATGGCTGGGAGTGGCTCAGAAGCTTCAGCAGCATCCCACTGGCTTGCTCATCTCCTCTACGCACCATGTGCTGAAGCGACTTGAGAGCCTCCAAAATGACGGGTGATTCCTCACTCTCCCTTGCAATTTTCATGACTGCCGCAGTGGCTCTGCTGTCACCACCACTGCATACTTTGCTGAGCGCCTTGAGAATCTCACAAAGGGTCTCTGCCGACGCAAGGGGCACTTGCCGGAGCAAAGCCGCTATGATTGCAGGGTCGCCGCGCCTGCCGTTGCCAAGCGCCTGTGCAAAAGCCAGCACAACCTCTTCGTGGAAGTCCTTCATGTCCGCAGCCAAGGTTGTCAGATCTGCCTCATTTCCAAGCCGCGACAGGGCTCTTACTACAGAGCACTTCATCTGTAGGCTGCTTGATGCATGGAATCTTTCCTCGGTCCAGAAAGGAACGGCATCTCCAACAGTGACTGAAAAAAAGATGACAAATCAGCCTAGAGGTTTGACATCTGTGGGCTTTAGAAAAGATGCTCTCGGCTGGGGCGGGGCGCCAACAAAGCATCGCTCACGGATCTGTCGGCAAAAAAGCCGAGGGCCTCGGCAGCTCCAGAAGCGACCTCGGGAGCATCCTGCAGTCGACCCAGCAAAGCATCCACCACCAGCGAATCCACGGAGGACTTGGATTCACATGGCCAAGCCGCTTGCTGAGTCTAGCAATGCACAACCCTGTATATGCCGCAATCCACTTGCAACTTTGCAAGGCAGTCAGTTTGCCTAGTTCCTCCCTGAGAGAAGCATGACGCAAATAACAAATCTGGACAGTGTTCAGCCAAAAACAAAGCACAACGCATGCTCCACGCGGCCGGAAAGCGTCCCCCGTGTTGCCTAAGGCTTGGAGAACCTTCGCTGCTTCGCAGCGCATGGTCACCGAGACGTCGGCCAGGCACTGGAGGGCCACGGAGATGCAGAGGCGCTTGGATTTGCTCGATGGCCGCATCCTGACAGGGACATATGGGAGACCAGGCCGCGGAGAATCTTGCAGTGGGTGGAAAGTCCTTCCGGGGCAAGCAGCTGAGTGGGAACAAGCGTCAACCCCTGGAGTCAAGCTGTCATTAGCGTTCCCTCAGACAAAGGAATAACCCTTTCCATTCCGCAGCACCAGGCTGCAAGGCGCATCTTGGGCTGTTTCCACACCCATAGTTTAATATATATATATATATATATTGATAAACAAAACAAAAAAACACACGCTGGGCCCTCGCTGGCGCCTGGCGGCCGCAGAGAGGCAGGCGCTCCGCACCATCTTGTCCCGGTCCCGGATCCCCGCCTCCGCCGCGGCCAGCAGCGAGGGGTGGCCCAAGTCCCGCAGACACTCGGCCGCCGAGCGGCGCAAAGACGGATCCTCGGGTCAAAGCGGGCCCCGTTCCAAGTCCCGGGTCACACACCACGGCAGGCTCCAAAGGCCAGGGAAGCTGGAACCGAAACTCCCCATCCCAGCTGCCACATGTTTGATTGATATCCGAATGTGGAATGCGGAGAAGCTAAAGCTAGGGCATGCACGGCAAATACTTGCAGGGACTGTCAGAACAACTTGCTTTAGGGCATGTTTCCCCACTGGTGTCACTAGTGGTCACTAGCGTCGGTTCACGTATTCCACAATGCACAAGCAACGAGAGCTGCATATCGTGATGTGCAGCAAAGACGTGCAGGCCAACCCCCACATCCCCACATCCCCGCCTCTTCCTTGAGCGCCTGCCCCACAGCACCGGCAATGCTTCGAAGACTAGCAAGCTGCTCAGCATCCCCCTGCTGCACAAATGCGGCCTTTGCACAGGGCGCCAAGTGAGCGAAAGCCGCCTGCCGCGCAGCTGAGGCATCCCTCGCGCTCGCCACCACCAGCAGCTCCTGCAGGACACGCAGCGCCACGCCGCCCTCGCGGCCCATGGTGCTGAGGCCCACCACGGCCACCACCCGCACCTCCTCCTCTGGGTCCGCGGAAATGCGCTTCGCCACCGCCTCCACCAAGGACTGGGGCAACCCACCCGAGCCTTGGCAGCCTCGGCCCAGTTGCCAGAGCTTCACCAGGGAAGCCAGCGCCCCGCGCCGCACGTCCGGATCCACGTCCAGCCTACGGCCCAGCACCGCGTGGATCACTGCATCATCCCCGGGCATCGAAAGCTCCGGCAACGCAATCACCACTGCACGCCGCACCAGCGTGCTCCTGTCCTTGGCTGTTTGCACTAGTGGCTGAACTATGCTACTCAATACCTCGAGGTATAGCTGAAATCAAGGTAAGCAGCAAGGATGCGCGACCTTGCGCTGTGCCAACATTCTCTCAGCACATCAGTCCACTGTCAATCTGCGACTTTGTGAATTTGTAAACACTGTGTGCGAATGTGCGAATGGTTGCATGCCTGAACGTATACATGCGCGAACTGTGAAATGCGAATCTGTGAATACATGAATGTATCAATGTGTGAATGCTTCAATGCGTGAATGTATGAATGTGTGAATGCTTCAATGCGTGAATGTATGAATGTAAGAATGTGTGAATGTGTGAATGTGTGAATGTGTGAGAATGTGTGAGAATGTGTGAATGTATGGATGGGATGGACGAATGTGCGAATGTATCGATATGTCGTATGTCAAACCAATGAACCTGAGGCTTGGGCAGAAGCGCATCCACCACTTCTTTGCCAGGCTCCGCCAGAAGCGGCAGAGTCTGCACGGCAGCCTCGCGCACGTCGGCGGACTCATCTTGAAGGGCCTGCGACAATCGAATTTCGAGAAAATGCTCTGAGTCAAGCTCAAGGGCGTCGGGAACTAGCCAACCCATCTTCCCCAACCTCGAGTTCTCAACTGACTCGTCTGGGACAAGAACACCTTCGCCTTCCATTCTCCGTGCCTGCAACACCCGCGCCACCGTTGCCTTGCTGCAGGACTTGAAGCCCGACAGAGCGCACGGCAAGACAGAGAGCACCGCTTGCCGCACTCGCCAGTCCGGGCCCTGCCAGCCAGAACATCGCCCCCCAGTACCTGAAGGAATCCTTTGGTTAGTCTTCCCTTTTTCTTCGGTCAAATGGCTGTGGGTCAAGAACAGGTGCCGAAAATGGAACCCTCTGGAAACAAGGACTAAAGCTGCGGTCCCCTGGCTGAATTTTGACCCATTCGCAAAGCAATTCGGAATATTCCAAAGGTTTTCTCACGCCACCTCATGGCCACTCCCCGCCACTTACCAGTCCCACCCGCCTCCAAAGGCCCCCACAATGCTTCGATGACCTTCTCATTGCCGCCGCCCCGCTCCCAGAACTTCCGCAAAAAGGCTAGCTTTCCTGAGAGGCGAGGCGGCGGGCTCCTTTCATTTCGTGAGAGTATGAATGATTTGCCTTGCACGGACTCACAGAGGGGACCAAGGGAAAGGAAAACAGCACACAGCGCGCGCGCGCGCGCCCCGCTGCGCCCGCGCAAATCTCAAAACGCAGAGGAGGGGCTCCAAAAGCCCGAAGATGAGCTGTGGCTATCCTGACATATGGCAGCAGCCACTTACTTGGAAACTCTTTGGAGCTACAAGCCAACTGGGTACCTCAGGAGAATTGTTGGATCGATCGCCCGCTGTCTTGCTGAAACTATGATGAAAATAATGCACGTCTTGCTGCGCGGGCTGAACAACTTGCCTGATCGTCCCCGTTGCGCTTGCTGGGCCTACCCGTCCGTTTAACCACGGACCCGTGCATTTTGGCGGTCATCGCCTCACACCCCCGTCAACAAGTGGCCATGCCTAATGGAAGTAACCAGGTCTGGGAATTCCCCCTCCTTGCAAAGGCTGCGCGCGAGCAGCAGCCCCACGTCATGGCAGCTTGGCAAGTCCTAGCCGCCACAAAAAGAACACCATCGTGTTCTTGCTTGCTGCATGGATTCAGGACAATCAATCAGACGCATCAAAGCATATTGCAAATCCTCTGAATCTGTTGCAAGCACACATAACCCGTCTTGGCAGGATGCGCGCCTTTGCCTGCAATGACGACACCCGCAGCTGTAACCAGGTGGACGCCTCCAAGAAAGACGCCAAACTGGTTTGAGCGATACGGAACACTTGGTCAGCCATGGCCAGACCGGATCTGCCGCAGAGCTACGAGTTTCCTTAGACTGCACATGTTCGGCTCACGAGGCCATGTTGCTGCGCTTTCACATCTTATGCAAGCAGGTGATTGGTGACTCGAGCCCACAACTGCCGCCGTGCATCTAGCAATATCGGTAAGACCAGCTCACAAACAAACAAGGAACCAAAAAAATCTGAGAAACCGGCATGGCCATCAGCAGCCTGAAACTGTTGTTTGGTGGGAACAATGGCGCAAGTGTCTTGGTTGCCTGCCGACACTGGTGGGAGGAGCCCACATGTTGCCCACTGCAGAAGGCGGTACGCAAAACTTTGAAGGTCATAGCCCGGCAAACTTGTGTACTTTAGCTTGCCTTACTGCAATCTAGCAAAAACTGTCAACTATGATAGCCAGGGTTTCAAAGCACGCTACGTTAGAGAGTGGAGTTGGAGTTGGGTTGGGGCGGGGAAGGGTGAAGTTGTTGCACATCACCTCCCCCACTCCCCACCCCAACTCCATCACCTCCCCCCTGCGTTTGGCTTTCCACGCGCTTGACCTTCGTGCTTTCTACGTTTCACGACAACCTGCTGGCTCTATGCCCCCTTCTTATAGTACACAGCGCTAGGGAGAAAATAGGACTGCGTGTTGCTCATATGCACACAGGCAATCAAGTACAAGGAACTCCCAGTTGCACTTCTTATCTTGAAACAGACCCAGGGCCACTGAGACAGCTTAGTTGCCCCCTGTTCGGGACTCAATCAAGTCTGCGGCGCTGCCCGCGCTTGAGATTGCGTAGGTCGGAAGTCATCCGCTCGCCAGTAGGATAGAAGCCACAGGCCTCGAAGGAGGTCAACAAAACTCTCGCCCGCCAAAACGCGGACATGGTGCTGGCCCACTTGCCAGGCGGCACAGTGCCATCCACGTCCTCGGCTGCCAAAAGAGCCTGCTTCAGCACAACCTCGTCCAAGGGCTGCAGAAGGAATGTCAGTTTTGTGGGTACATATACTGGACGAATGTTCAGTCGATCTGCGGCAGCGGCATCCAAATGGTGGCAGTGTGCCAGGGCACAGTCCAGGAAGACATTCATGACATCCCGTATACGCTGAAGCACGGCGCACATGGCCTCACACGCGGACTTCCGTTTCCAAAATCTCTGCGTTGTGCAGCTTGTGTAAATGGGCGTCTACTAGCCCTTGACGTACTCGTCGCATATCACAGCAGCGTGCGTCGACGCGCCTCTGCTCTGTCGCTTCGGTGCCTTCCGACGGGGGGACAGGCCATTGACCCAGCGTCCTCTGCCAACGAAATATCCAGCGGCTTAAGCCCCCCGCAATAGATTGCTGTTTCATCGAGGTTGATTGGACAAGGATGCAGGCCCTGCTCCACTGTCGTCTTGACAACGTAGTCGATCCAGCGCCAGATGTGATTACCTGGCCCCAAACCGGATACACTTTCACGCCTCAATGCGGCGTTCTACAATAGGTGACAAGCGCCGTGATGCAAGAGACGACACACGAAAAACGTATCAGGAATGGAACCCAGGAACCTTACGAGCAAACCAGCAGCTCGCCCTGTCGCATTGCGCCGTGTCGGAGCCCATCGCCGTTTCAGCCGACTACACCACCTACGCCATCTTGCTCAACACGCTGTCCGCGATCGCTGCGCAGAATGTCCGCCGGCGAAAACTCTAACTCGTCGCCTGCGCGCCAGGCAGAGACTGCCAAGCCAAGACACGCTTGTCTGGCATTTTAACGTTTCACGGAAAGAAATGATGTCCTCTGCCCCTGCTCTAGTGCACCACGTGCCCTAGATGCAGTGCAACTTTCCAGCAACCCGGAAAAAAATGTGCGCGCCTTTCGTCCTGCGGTTGTTGTTTTTTTGGAGCTTGGTTCAAGCACCGCAGGTTTTAGCCCGTCGGTTTATTGCGAAAAACTGCCTTTTTTTCCCTGACATCGCCTGCAGCATGATCGCCGGTCGATACAAAGGAGTCTGGGCAAGGATACGAGCTTCTTGGAAGCGGTGCAAATTAATAAATTTGAAACGTGCAAGGTCATGCACAAAGCCAGGGTACACATCACCGAGGTGAGCTCCCACATGCCAAGAAGGCGACAAAGAACGTGACTACCCAAAGGTCACTTCCAAAGCAAAACCAGAACAGCAAAAGAAAGGAAGGGTGAGACCGGTCCGGGTGCCATAGGCACCAGTCCAGAATGACTGCAAAAACGAGAGCCGGAGCAACTGTACCGCGCTCAACGGCCTGTGAAACCTAGGCCCTACGCCTGAAGACATCCCAAATGTCGAACACCAGGCAGCCTTTCTCACAAGCCAAACGTCTGGTGATTGAAGTTGTCAGTGTAAGGCCAGCATCCCGGCTAGGGAATGAGATTCATGAGCAGAGCAAAGTAAGGCATCCAGAAGGCCAAAAGTCACCAAAGCTGCCGTGTAGTTCTCCCCCGGAGCAATACACAGCGCGAGAAAAGGTAGTTCGCCACCGCAAAATGATCCAGAAAGGAAAAGGCGGGGAAATCAAAGTCCCCGCAATGCCACCGAAAATTCTGTAAAAGAACAGGTCTCGCAAGCGTCAGCCAACCCGTCGGGCAACTGTTTTTTTTCCCTGCAATCGCCTACAGCATAATCGCCAGTCGTATAAAGAAAGGAAAATGAGCAAAGGACAAGGGCTTTTTGGAAGCAATGCGACTCAATAAATTTGACCTGCGCGGCAATGCAAGACACCTAGGTACTCATTACAGAGCCTGATCCTAGTGCCCTACCCAGAGCCTGAACCTCCCAGTGCCCTACCCGGAGCCTGATCCAAGTGCCCTACCCGAGCTAAGATCCTAGTGCCCTACCCGGAGCCTTGGATCCAAATGCAGGTCAGCAGCTGGAGAGGATCAAAACCGAAGCGGAGAATGTGCAGAATTCAGCGGCATGTCCATGTGAATTTGTCGCATTTGGCTTATAAAAATATAAATTCTTGAAAAACGTGCGTTTTGGAGGCTTGCAAGGTCTTATTTTCACAAAACAACTTGCTTCGCAGTGTATAAAAAAGTACATTTCCCTGAATTTCTGGCTTTTTGGACAAAAAAGCCATGAGCGTCTACCAAAAAAAAATTTGGTAGACGCCCACTTTTCGTGGAAATTCACAATGAAAATGCACGCGGCGACAAATGAGCGTCTACCTAAGATAAAGAAAAATCAGGTAGACGGTAGACGCTCCGCCGTTTTCATTGTAAATTTCCACGAAAATGAGCGTCTACCAAAAATTTCTTTGGTAGACGCTCATTTGTGGCCGCGTGCGTTTTCATTGTGAATTTCCACGCAAAGTTGGCGTCTACCAAGCTTTTTTTGGTACTCACTGTTTTTTTGTCCAAAATGCTAGAAATTCACAGGGAAATGTGCGTTTGAATGCATCGGGATACAAGTTTCGTGTTCAGATGCGCTTGACTTCCTCGAAAAAATGGAATTTGCATGTTTGAGCGCATTTTTGTAACGAAATGCTAGTAATTCACATGGAAAATGCTTTTTTATGCTTTTCGCATATGTTTTCTAATCAAAAACGTACTGTTTTGCGAGAATTCGGCTGTTTTCATGAATACTAACGCTCGACGGCTTGAGAAGTAAGAATGAAGAACCGTGAAGCTGTCTGATGGGACACTGTAGCGATAGCACGGCACTGGCATCTTCAGGCGACGGTGGACAAAACTGCCAGCTTGTCACGTGAGACATGAGCTAGTTGGTCAGCAACATCCACAGGGAAGGGTCACTCAACATGTTTTCTTGAACGAAACATTAGCTTCTTTTAACAAGTTTTTACGCACAGCACTTTTGCGGTCGGAAGGCGTCGTGTTACAGCCCACTTCGATGCTCACGTGATTGGAACTCAGCTGGCTCAAGCAACATTTTTCTTGATGGACTTTATCGAAAAAAAAAAACACAAGTGGATGCCCCAAGCAGTCACGCGGCGAGCTCTCTGGATTGAAACCATATGTTTTTTTTAAAGGGTGTCTTGTCTGTAACACCACCTTGGGGGAGTGAAGCTGTCATGTTGCAGGCTTGCTCAAAGGAAGACACTGCGCCGCAGGAACGCGAGGATCTTGACCAAGACTATCCACTGAGAGCTCCACGTGGCCTCTGGGACGCCCCGACCTCGGAGACAAAGCCCCGGTTGCAGAAGCCTTGCTTTTTCTCGAAAAGCTTTGACGACAAAACGCAAGGGAAGACCCAAGGGAGTTACTTAGACAGGTCTTATGGCAAAATACATATTTTTTTTGATGGACGTTATCGAAAAAAACACAAGTGGATGCCCCAAGCAGTCACGCGGCGAGCCCTCTGACCATGTGGTTAAGGCATGTTGCACTGCTCCTAGCTTGAACCCAAACATGAAACCTCAAAAGAACAAAGCTCATCCGAAGCGGCCGCAGTTCTTTTTACCGGGATTGCTGAAAGTAGCACTGCTTCCAGGGCACTGGTGCGCCTGGAACAGGAGGCACATTGACCCCCCCGAAATGTGAAAAGGCAAGACAGCGCGTGTCCTTGCATATAAATGCAGTGCTTGAGGGGCGCGGCATGCGTGCCCACGCCCCAAGGTCCGGAAACCGTCCGGAGACCAAAGTTGGTCCGGAGACCTGGTCCGGAGACCAAAAGGCCCGGAGGCCACCCATGAAAGTGCAGAGCGTCTGCTACCTATACCTGCAGAGCCTGGTATAGGGCAGTGCAGGGTGGGTGGGTGGGTTTCAAAATGAAACCGCAGGTTTGGGTCAAGGCTAGGAGCAAAACGGCCAACGCGTAGTTCGATTCACAACATGCCCTAAACACAAGGGAAAAGAAACCCTAAGCGTTAAGGCATGTTGCACTGCTCCTAGCTTGAACCCAAACATGAAACCTCAAAAGAACAAAGCTCATCCGAAGTTCTTTTTACCGGGATTGCTGAAAGTAGCACTGCTTCCAGGGCACTGGTGCGCCTGGAACAGGAGGCACATTGACCCCCCCTTCAGTGTTTCAGGCAACCCCGGTATAAGCGAGCCCGCTGGGCCGCAGGCCTCAT